AAAAAAAAAAAAAAAAAAACCTAGCAACTACAAAACAACTAATCAACACAGAAATTAACAAAATAAAAAAATATTCAACTGAATAAGAAAACTTACACTAGAATAGCATGATCCAAAAAATCTGAATGGCATATCTGGTTTTCTATTCAGTTCTCTCAAATTCAATATCCTGCACCAGGTATCCAGAACACACACATCGACATAGTGATCTTGTCCTAACGACTTAATATTATCTTTCAGTAAAATCAAATCACCATTCTTGAAAATTGTGTCAAACCTGAAAAAACATAAATAAAAAATAACAATAAATTATAAATTGTAAATAATAACTCAAACTAAATGACAAAAAAAAATCTTAAATATGAAAATTTACGCTGTTTCTTGATCCTTATCATCCAATATCAAATCATAAGCTTCTCGGTCCCTTGAACTTGCTTTTAAAATGTTGAGTTGTTTCAGTTCAAGTTTCTCCTTCTTTGTTCCTTTCCTTTTCTTTTGAGCTTTCTGCTCTTCCTCCACCTTCTCTTTCTGCTCCTTCTCTTTCTTCTCTCTCTCTTTCCTCTCTTTCTTTCTTCTACATCTCCTTCTTCTCTTTTTCCTCTCTTTCTTTCTTCTCCTTCTCTTTCTTTTCCTTCTCTTTCTCCTCTTTCTCCTTCTGCTCTCTCTCCTTCTTCTCTTTCTCCTCCTTCTCCTTCTTCTCTCTCTCTTCCCTCTCTTTCTCCTTCTGCTCTTTCTCCTTCTCTTTCTCCTCCTTCTCCTTCTTCTCTCTCTCCTTCTTCTCCATCTCCTTCTTCTCTTTCTCCTATCTTTCTTGCTTCTCCTTCTCTTTCTTCTCCCTCTCTTTCTCCTATTTTTCCTTCTCCTTCTCTTTCTCCTCTTGCTGCAATCTCTCTCTCCTCTCTTTCTTTCTTCTCCTTCTCATTCTTCTCCCTCTCTTTCTCCTCTTTCTCCTTCTGCTTCTCTTTCTCCTCTTGCTGCAACCTCTCTTTCTCTTTTTCTTTCTCATTTTCTGCTCTCACTCTCTCTTCTTCTTCCAACAGCTTCTCTCTATCAATTCTCTCTCTCTCTCTCTTTCTCTTTCTCAAGTTTCTCCCTCTCTTTCTCTTCCTTCTCTTTCTCTTCTCTTTCTCTATCAATTTTCTCTTGCATCTCCATCTTCACTTTTTCTCTCCCACTGCTCTGACGGTTTCTTCATTGCAGTTTGAATCTCCTTCACTTTCTCAAACACAACTACAAGAAGAGCATCCTCAAGAATTTCTGCAGGGGTTTGGGGTTGAGGGATAACAACAATATCCAGATTCATCTTCGTCCTTTTCTCCTCCTTCTTTCTCTTTTTGTCCTCTTTCTTCTTCCTTTTTCTCTCTCCCTCCTTCTCCTTCTCCTCTCTCGCTTTGTCTTCTCTTTCTTTAATTTGTCTCTGCACCTCTTCATCTACTAGCTTCTTAAATGCAGCATCTTGAGAAACTGAAACTGGTTCTTCAATTGGGGCTTGGGAAAATTGCCTTGAAATGTTTATAACATCGTCCCAACCTCTGTCACTCCCTTGGGACTGGGATGACAACCCCAATCCCAATGAAAAACTAGGACCTTCATCATGATGCTTCTTTTTGTATGCAGCCCTCTTCCCAATTGCACCCTCAACCTTCTCAACAAATGCAACTATTTTTGGATCATTCCAGAAAGCATCTGCTTCTTCACTAAAGGAATCATTCCTCTGAGAAGATTGCGGTATATTGGGACTGAAAGTGATTAGATTTTCAGTTGCTTCTTGAATCTTCTTAAAATTTAAATCTTCTGACACTTCAGTTGGTGCATCTTCAAGCAAGGTTATTACATCAACCACATCGGAAGCCAAGCACATAACCTTGTTAACCAGCTTGGATTTATAACCCTGCTTATACATAAAATTCAAAACAATGAACAATTATTATAACTTAGGTATTTTAATATCACTTGTACTAATATCATAAATTCTATGGTGCCACATGTGGCACCATATTATGATGCCACAACATGATGTGGCACATTATGATTGGCGCCACAACTATCACACATCATGTTGTGGCACCAATCATAATGTGCCACATCATGTTGTAGCACCATAACACGTGCCACATGTGGCACCATAGAATTTCTGGTACTAATATAACCTTTTATTTTTTATAATTTTAGATACTGAGGCACTAAGTGACTAATATATTCCTGACTTTTGATTTGTTTCTTTCAATTACCTATTGAATTATAAATGTATTTCAAAAGTTGATAACTTTTGTATTTCTTATCTTTTTTACATATATAATATATCAAACTAACCATCTTTTGATGATCATCGATTTGACATCCATATTGTGTATATGAAATAAATAAATTATGTTTATTTTTATAATAATGAAAAATAATAATATTTATTAAAATTGATTAGAAAAATAAAATTATTTCTCAATTGATATATTTATGTTTAATGTAGTTATATGTTGTAAGTTTAAAAATTATTATAATATAACACATGTAAGTTGCACAAATAAAAAGTGTCATACTAAATATATAATATTTATATATTTTTATAAAAGATATTTAAATTTTCAACTATTTTTCTCATTAATTTTAGATTTTAAGAAAAAATTAGCAAACACTCGTGTAATACACGGACATTGTACTAGTACCAAATATAAACAAAAAAAATCCTGCCTAACACTATATTATAGAAATATAGATTGTCAATCACATAGATATAGGTATAGATATAGATTTCGACCATGTTTTGACACACAACAATTTCAATTTAGAAAAAACGTTACATTCTTAGTTTGGTAAATTTTCACGAAATAAATAGTAATTATGGTAAACCCACCAAGGTTCATGTACATGCTTAAGTTTCAATGTTGATTGAGATGTATTGATAGACATACACACCATCAGTGAGAAGCATTTTCAATGCCTAACGTATTCTTTTTTTTTTTTTTTTTTGTTTGTTTACAGGATCTTTTGGTTTTCGGAATTCACAGGGAAACCTACTAATTCGGAATCGAGTCGAGTAGGACCACAAGGACGGCAAAGCTCTCTCTCAAAAATTTTAACACTGTTGCATTCTCAAGGCTCGAAAACGAGACAACAGGTTAAGCTGAAAGAGACAAAAGTCATCTCATCCAAACACTCTTGAGAATGTCTAACGTATTCTAAACAACTAAAAACAACAGTAGTAATCGAAATATACGCATGCCAGTGAGGGGCCAAATGAATTATTGATTCATATGTTAATATTATATATTTATATTTAATAAAATAATAAAGCAGTCATCAATGTTTGGTTCAAAGACGGATTGTATGAAGACAACATAGAGGAACTATTATTACCTACGTAAATCTATTTATATATATTCATATATTTTCTAATTAGATATAATCACATTTATTTTTTATTAAAGAAATTTTTGTTACGTAGTTTGTAACAATGAACTAAAAGCTATTAAAAAATATAAAAACTGAATAAAACAAATATTAAATGATTGAGCTTTTGGTATCTTTATATAGTATCACTTGGAAAGTAAAACAATTATAACAACGACCTCAGTACTAGTTATGGACATTACTATTATTTTAAGAGTGTAATAAAGCTCCTTTGATTTGCTAACTAAGCCCGAAAAGAAGGAAAAAATTCAAAATTAGTCCCACAGGTATAGGGGGGTGACATTTTTGGTCCCAACGAAATTCAGAAAATATGAATAGTCCCACAGCTTTTAAAAAATGATCAAAAGTATGATTTTTTTAATTTTCCGGCCCGGAATGCCACGTGGCCAAATTCATCTGACGTGGCTGAGTACAATGGCAAGGAAAAAAAATCAAAACTAGTCCCACAGTTTTTGGGAGGTGACATTTTTGGTCCCAAAAGAATCCATAAAATCTTAAATAGTCCCGCCACGTGTGTGCCACGTGGCATTCCGGGCCGGAAAATTAAAAAAAATCCTACTTTTGATTATTTTTCAAAAGTTGCGGGACTATTAATATTTTTTGAATTCCGTTGAGACAAAAAATGTCACCCCCCTATACATGTGAGACTAGTTTTGAAATTTTCCCCCGAGAAGAAAGAAGATTTTTATAGGAGAATGCAATCTTGTAGTAAGCCTCGTGCCTTCGAATGAAAGACAATGGGAAAATAGGCGTGTGAGCTTTCTTGTTGGTTGTCTTAACTCAGTTATTAAAAATATTCGTTTTCGATATTAAAACTGAAGCCAAAAAAAAAAAAAAAAAGTCTATGATATAGTTTTCTAATTAGTTGCAATAAGGATAACGCGGCCATTGTAATATATACGACAAAATTAAGTCTTCCAATCACTTGGAAAACAAAATTGGGTCATAATCATTCCATTGGCCACAATGATTAAGATACTAACTAATTTTTTTGTAATTAAAAAAAAAAAAAAAAAAGAAACTAGTACTAATACTTATGTACAACATGAGTGTTGAGTTGATGAATATATGTATAAAGTTATTTATGTCTAATATCAAATTGAACTCCAAAACAAAAATAATATAAAAACAACATCACGAAGTATAGATTTTCACCATGTTAGCATCCGAAGCGTGAGAATCTGCCACCTATGTTCAACACGTTTTGAATATATATGGAGGGATAAGATTTAGGCTAAATATTGTTACTATCATCCCAATGGAATAAGTCTTTTTTAAAAAAAAATAAAAATATTTGATTTAATATTTGATTTAGTGGAGAAAAATAGACATCTCCTCCCCTATATATTAATACAGAACGCGTTGAGACTTCGTGGCTGTTTCTGGTGCTTCAGAATCTTATGTGGCAAAATTACATGCTTCGTTATTAGGCTTGGGTAAATTTTAATTTAATTCCAAACCAAAAATAATTAGGTTCGGATTACCATAAATATGTTGATTATTTATGGTCATATTACATGAATTAATTGTATTTTAATATCATTACTTATTATAACTATTGAATTGTATAAAAATATTCACCTACCCACAGTGGACACATGTTAATATGTCCACTGCGTAGGTGGCATGCACTCATTGATGATGTATTTTTTTAAACATATTAACATCACCAATGAGTAGATGCCACCTACGCGGTAGGCATATTAACATGTGCCTACCGTGGGTAGGAGAGCATTTCTATTGAATTGTATATGTATTTTAAAAGTTAATAACTTTTGTATTTTTTATCAGTTTTACATATGTAATATATCAAATTAATCTTCTTTTGATGAGCTTCGGTTTAACATCCATATTGTATGTATAAAAAAAGTAATTTATATTTATCTTTATAACGATAATAAAATTATTTTTAATATTAATTAGAAAAATAAAATTATTTATCAACTAATATATTTATATTTCAAGTAGTTATATGATATAAGTTATAAAAACTAATATAATATAACACATGTAAGGCATAAGTAACACATATTTTTTTGTAAAAAAGTAAACTAAATTTAATATAGCTTTTTCATTAATTTTAAAATTTAAAATAATTTTTTAACAAGCACCCGTATAATACACGAGTGTTGTACTAGTCACCTCGTTAAAGTAAAACTAACATCAAGATCAAACAAGAAAATAGAAAAAGAAGGCCAAATAAAAATGAAAAAAGGCTACATATATATAAATATAGATGGTGGCCAGATTACACAAGTAGGCCGATTAAAGAAAAGACTGATCAATTTGACTAATTAAGGAAGGTTAGAGATGGGATGAGAGTACGAGTCTTGCAAGAAAAGAAGTTGTATGGATATTGGTGGCACGTGTACACAATTTTTTTTTTTCATAATCTAATTAATTGTTGATATAAGTATTTTTTTTTTTATTTTTTTTGTACAATTGTTGATATAAGTGTTAATTATTCTCATAAACTTTCTTTTTGCAATGATATATTTTCCATTTATTAAAGTATTTATTTGGGTTGTGGTCTGTACGAGTTAGTGAGCTCTCCGAACTTTGTATTTTTTTTTCTTTTATGAGATCATATATTGTTCGAGAAAAAAAAAAAGTTTTATTTGGAACCAGACAGTGTAATTATGCAGAGATTCCAAATTAAAATTTACATTTAGAGAGTTGATATTTGATATAGTACGTCCTTCCATTAACCATTAAATAAATCAACTTATGGCGTAGTATGTGTAATCAAATAGTTTGATCATTTTATCTCATATTGAAGATTAATCCTTCTGTTTGTAATTTTTTTTTTTTTTTTTTTGGATCATGAGAGCTCTACATAAACTTATAAATTATTTTGAAGCACATGTATATAGTTAGTTTGATCTTATATACAAATGTTGTTGTTACTCTTTAACCAAATTATACACTCATATTTTATTATAAAAAATGATATTTATACTATGAAATGTTACAATTTTATTTATATTACATTTTAAGGTAATTTGCAACCTGTACTATACGCGAATTTTGGGTTTGCAACCTAAAGATTTTTTTGTATTAAATTGCAACCTTTAATACACAGATTTGTCTATATCGCAACCTCCGGCCATCGGCGGCCCATTTTTCACCGAAAAAGATAGCGTGCGGCACACACGTACCAAATTTGAGGGCAAAAACGTCTTTTCATCTCTCTTCCTTCTTCCTCCTTCATCCTCTCTCTCTCTCTCTCACACACAGTAAAATCAAAAGTCGAATTACAGCGAGATAATTCAATCCCTCGATCGGGAGGCCCCTGTAGTCATCGTAGAGGCCCATGAAATTCACGTCTTTCAATGTGAAATTCACGAAAAAAGAGGCGGCAGATCTAGCCACGAGGTTGAGGAATTAATGGACCAGGCTGACATAAAATGATATCCCGATTGCAGAGGACAGGGAGAAAGGTACAGTTCTTCTTCTTCGTCAGGGCGATGAAGGTGACGTTCAAGAAAGCGATGCCGTACAGAGTGATGCCGCTGGAAGGAAAAATGGGGGCTGCGACGAAGAAGATGAACATAACAAAGGAAAATATCGAACACATTTACTGAAATTTCGATTGCTTTTCTTTAGATCTGAATTTCGACAAGTCTGTCCAGATTGAAGTAGAATTTGACCGTGGGAGACTCCGTCGGCGACAAAGTAGTCCACTTGAGTTTCCGGCGGATGGCGGTTCCATGCACTCCTTTTCCCAGGCGCTCTCTTTAGGGTTTATGTGCGTGAGAGTGTGTGTGAGAGAGAAGATGAAAGAGGAAGGAGAAAGAGAGATAAAAGACTTTTTTGCCCTCAAATTTGATACGCGTGTGTCACACGCGCGCTTTTCCGGTGAAAAATGGGCCGCCGATGGCCAGAGGTTGCGATATAGACAAATATGTGTATTAAAGGTTGCAATTTAATACAAAAAAATCTTTAGGTTGCAAACTCAAAATTCGCGTATAGTACAGGTTGCAGATTATTATTTATCCACATTTCATTTATGATATTAGAGTATAAATGTATTTATATTTGTTGGAGGTATATTATTGTATAATCATTAGGCAGTAAAGAAAACAATGAAATTTTTTTTTGTTTCGACATGTATACAGGGCATAGCCACCCCAAATGTTGGGTGGCCTCTAACTCAGTCTTAAGTCATCGACCTTCCTATATTAATATTAACAAAACAAATAATAAAAAACATTGTCAATAATAAACAAAAGCCATAAATATGAGAAAAAATAGTAAACTAGAATACATAAACTTACAACCTTCTCGACTTCTTTTGTACAAAATTATCAATCAAGTCACCAGAATCAAGTTTTGCAACCATTTTTTTTTTTCACTGGATAACATTGCCAAACCATTCAATCTATCCTAAGAAATAGTTGATCGAAGGTAATTTTTTTTCAACTTCAACTTGGAAAAACTTTTTCAGCAGATGCAACAGCAACTGGGATGGTCAACAATATTCTGTACGCTTCGCAGGCATTGGGGAACCGATGATACAAATTTTTTTATATACTCCAAGACTTCAACTGGTTTAGTTAATCCATCTGGTAATGCTTTTCTCAGTAATTGCAACTCTGAGAATAGTTCAAGTGCATCAATATCAGAACTAACTTCATGTTTCAAAAAGTTCTCAAGTTTAACACACGAATGCTTCAAACTTTCAACATCCATGTTTTTCAACTTGGCCAAGTTGAATAGAAATCCAAAAATTTCATCGTACTTTTGAAACTGCACAAACCTTAGTTGGAGAGAAGAAAGAGCATTATCAACAATTTGAAGAAAATAATTTACTCGAAAATAGTTTTCGGCCCCTTGAATTGGTTCATCTCGAGCATTTTCACCAAAAAAACTTACTTTTGCGACGAATCTAAATTTCATGAAAGGCGGGTTCCACATCCATCTCTGATGCAATATTTTGAGCTTCAAGTTTTGCAGTTCCAAAACCACAGTTTCTGTATTCCCCCAAAAAAAATCAAGCCTTGTAAAAGACTTATACTCTCACCAATGACCATATCATTTCTTTGGAAAGCATTGATAACTGAATTCACTTTATGCAATATATCAAACCAGATTACGATCCCCACAAGAAAATCAAAACTTTGAAGTTCATAGTCCGCCAATGATCTAGCATCACTAGCCATTGTTGCATCACCATTGTGTTCCACTAGATGCAGTAATGCGTCTGTAATTTTAGGTGTCTGGAATCTTACAGCCTTAACCCTATCAACACGACTCTCCCAGCACGTATCCGACCATGAACTTAAAGTAAGCTTTCTTACTTTACGATCTTTTACAAAGGATTTCAAGACATCCCACCTCTTCGTTGAAGTAGAGAACAACTTATAAATTCGTTGTATCACTCCAAAAAATGACTTTACCTGAACCGAGCTCATCGCCATATCACAAAGAGTCAGATTAAGAGAATGACAACCACATGGAGTGTAAAATACTCGAGGATACTCATTTAGCATTCTATTACTTACTCCTTTGCATTTCCCTTTCATGTTTGAACCATTATCATAGCCTTGGCCTCTCAAGGCACTTAAATCTAAATTCAATATAGTCAAAATAGATTTAAGCTCATTAAAGAGGGACTATCTTGTTGTTTCAACAACATTTATAAATTGAATAAAAAACTCCTCAATTGTAATTGGAGTCTTTGAAACATCAACACATCTCAATATGAGAGACATTTGCTCCTCATGGCTTACATCCGTAGTTCAATCAAGAACTACATAAAAGTATTTTGCACCTCTAACAATCTCAAGAATCTTTTTATTTATCTCACCCGCCAACAAAAATATCAATTCATTTTGAATATTGTGGCCAAGATAATGGACACGTTTAGTCTATTTTTTTCTGATACTTCTTAGGTGCTCTTCCATGATCAGATCAAAATCAGCAATCATTTTAATAATGAAAATTTCCACTATTATGATCATCAAGTTTTTTCGTTTTGCCCATGAAATGCCAAATTACAACTAGCAAGAGTTTAGACAACACAAAAGATTCCCTTCAAGACATCTCTCCAAAATATCTTTCTCTCTCTCGATGACCCTCTGATTTGCAGAGTCAATTGTTTCTTTTTTTCAATCTTTTTCCAGCCTCTGTCCAATCTGCTAAACGATTCATATGATGAACGCTTCTTTCATGCTCGCTAAGTCTCTGATAAATATTTTTCCAATTATCATAACTAATTGTTGTTAAGGGACTTGATATAATTTGATCCCTCTTGAACAGAACACAGCAAAAGCAAAATACTTTATTCTTCTTCTAAGAGCACACTAACTATGGTCTATCAAGTTTTTCTCCATTCGATAAAGATCGAGTGTAGAGTTTATCATTGAAACTTCTACCTTTGTCGTTAATTGGATACACAACATTAGTAACTCTAATCGGCTCTTTTTCGACTAAAAAATTAATCTTTCTTTGAGCCATCTTATCCTCCCAATTTCTTGGATAGAACAAATTGTCTAAATTTTCATAATTCATATCATGGTTATCATTCATATCCTCATAATCATTCGCATTCACGAACTTAATTTTTTTCTTCTTCAAATTTTCTATCCCCCTTATCAGTATTATCTGAATCAATTTGTTGTCGATCAATTAAATCTCGACCAATCTCAAGTAGGGGTGTATCAGGTAATTCCGGCACAATTTCTGTAGGACCAAACACTTCAACGTCTACTACATGAGTTGTAGGTTTTACGTACCTATCCATAGAATCGGCTAGAGATTTTGTTAATATCTCTTGCTTTTCTTTCTTTTTCCTTTTCGAAATTCCCGATTCAAATTTGCGCTTACCCGTCATAACTCGTCTAGCAAATCTGATCATAGAATGAGATAATGATATATGAATAAATTTATTTACAATACTAATTAAGAAAAAATACAATCAAATACTAAAAAAAAAAACACGCACACACACAAATTGAACAACTAATAAATTTATTTACAATACTAGCAAATTTAATCATCCTTTGATTTAATAAAAAGAAAGAAACTACATATATAAATCTAATAAAATATAGACAAATACAAAAAAAAAATGATATTTTGTGTCATTCATTGAACAATTCTAAGTGGAACAAATAATCAAATTTGTATCATCATACTTGAACAATTCAGGTGGAACAAATAGTCAAATTCAAATTATTGTTGCTTGAGTGCTCCAAAACTAATGTATTCCATTTGAGATGTTAAGATGACCATGATACCTCATTCTCAATTAAAAAAGTTAAAAAATGATTAATTATAAATAAATTCAAATTGATCCAAATTTTCAAGCACCCAACTGTGAGGTTGAAATAAAGAGAAACATAATGTTTTTTTGTTTTCATCCAACGACAACCATAAACTTTGATAAAACTCAATAAACGTTTACAACGGTAATCAAATGACTACTACCATTGAGAGTAAACAAGTCCCTCCCCCCCACCCCCAGGCATGGGAAAGATAAAAATCTACCCTAATAAGGCATGCAAGCCAAAAGAAGACAACAACAATCTCACGTCTAAAACAAACATTTAACAATAGCATTACAATCTAGTTGAAGAGCATGAATAATATCCATATCATGTTGTTTCAACTTAGGGAGGAAGCAGTGTGTGCCAATACAAGTCACTAATTCTGCATCTTGGATTAGACAAGTAAATGATTGTATCTTCAAATCCTTAGCTTTCTTCAAACTCCACATCAATTCATGCACTTGACCCTCAATCTCATTGAGTGATTGTTCCGGTACTGTCTCCCAAAGATCATGGACACCTCCTGCTACTTCCACCATGCATGCCACAGAAGTCACCATCAACAGACAGTGAAGCACGGATAGTCAAAATAGACTTACCTACTTCCTTGGAAAAATGGGTTTATTACACGAAATCCCCCTGTATGATATAAAATTTGCGTGTTTTTTCCTGGTATTTTGAAAATTGCGTCAAACCCCCCTGTATTTTATGTTTGCATGCACACTTTCCATTTCCACTTAACGTCGTTAGTTTAATGCTGACGGTGTTACTTTTTCATTGAATTACCTTTATACCATTATTTTAACATTGAATTTACCGTTTTACCTTTAATGTCAATATATTGACTTAAAAGTAAAATCTCAATGGTGGGGATTGAACCCACCACCTTTGGGTTGTAAAAGGTAACTTTTACCAACTAGGCCACTAGTCATTTAGTTATGAATGTGATTTAATCTATATATATATCACACCATATAGTGGACATATCATATAATTAGGTATATAGATTCTAAATTATAAATATTATAATAGTTAATTATATAGATTCTATGTAATGTAATAATTAAGTATATAGACTCTAAGTTATAAATAATATAATAATTAAGTATATAGATTATAAGTTACGAATAACGTAAAATATTTTCTAAGTTATAATAATATAATAATTAAATAAATAGATTATATATTAAAACTAATATAATAATTAAATTAATTCTATATTAAGGATAATATAATAATTCGTCATATAGATTCTATATTATAAATAATATAATGATTGATTAAACAGATTATAAATTTAAATAATTTAATAATTTAGTAAATATATTTTAAAATAATTAAAATATTGATTCAAAATATATTCTAAGTTATAAATGATATATTAATTATTAAAATAGATTATAAATTCTACACAATTTATTAGTTTAGTAAGTAAAATTTAAAATATTAAATAAATAGATTCTAAATTATAAATAATATAATAATTGAATAAATTATATTCTAAAGTATAATGATAATTATAAATCATAAACAATATAGTAATTTAGTATATAGATTTTATAATAATTGAATGAATAGATTCTTAAATATAAATATTTAAGTAAATATATTCTAAATTATAAATAATATAATGATAACTATAACTTGTAATATAACAATTTACTATATAGTTTTTATAATAATTGGGTAAATAGAATAATATATTAGAATATATTTACTCAATTATTATAAAATAAATTATTGAATTATATATTCCTTATAATGTGTAATTATATTATGCATAATTAAGTAAGTATATTCTAAATTATAAATATTTTTAATAATTTAATAAATTAGATTCTAAATTATAAATCATAAAATAACTAGTATCTACATTTTAAATTATAAATAATATAATTTAGTAAATATAATCTATATTATAAATAATATAATGATTGAGTAAATAGATTCATAATATAAATGATATCATAACTGAGTAAATATATTCAAACTATAAATAATACAAAGACTATATAAAAAAAATCTAAATTATAAATAATATGAATAATTTTATAAAAGTTTATATTTATTCAGATTTAAAAATAAATAAAATAACAAAACTTATTTATAATATTTAAATCTCATAACAAAGGATACTTTTATTTTTATTTTTTATTTTTTCTCCGAAACGACATGGATAACTATTAATAAAAACAAAAGCGAACAACGTTCAATTCAAAGATACAACCAAACTGAAAAGAAACATGAGAGACACGCCAAAGGCGGTCTAGAACCTCAACTGAAACCACAAAGCCTGAACTAAGCTAAAAAGCAAAACAAATGAAAGAAACTCCCAACCACTGCATAAGCCTAGCCAAAAGAACTAACCCCAGATAAAACAAAACTAAAAAACCAAGAGAAAGGAAAATGACAAGCCAAGAACATACTAAAACTAAGAAACTGCAGCAATAAACTCCATCCAGTCCAAATGAGCCATCTTTACTAATATATGCTTAGGGATCATGGTCTTTTGAAAAATCTAGATATTCATGGACTTCCAAAGCCACCAAAGCAAATACGTAGAGAGTTGTATGCGTGCTTCAGCCACCTCAGAGGAATCCAGTGAACAAATTTGATACCACCAGTTAGGAAAATGATCAGTCCTTCCCTTAATACCATCCCATTGAACAGGGCAAAGATCCCAACATCTTCTGGCTCTTGCACAATTAAAGAGCAGATGCTCTATAGTTTCTTGTCCTTCCCCACACATAAAACATGTAGTGTCCAGAAACATGCCTCTTTTCAAAAGAAGTACAGCCACTGGAAGTGAATTGTTAAGGCATTTCCAATGAAAGAATTTGATCTTACCTGCAATCTTGAGTTTCCAGTATATGAGTTTAGTTCCCTGCTTGATAGAAGGTGCATTGCTGCTTTCAGGGAGATCTACTTGCAAGAGTTTTGAAGTTCACAGGTACTTGTATGTACTTGAGACAGTGAACTTGCCTTTCTTTTCCAACCCCCAGTACATTCTATCACTTCTGTTAGCATTAAAGGTGTTGATATTCAAGATTGCTTTGCTGTCATTTTCATCAAACACTTGATTCACCAACCACCCATTCCATTGATTACCAGTGGATTGCAGCAAGTCCTTAACCCATTAAAGATGACCTCTAGCAATGGGGATTAAAGAAGGTGCTTTCTTTTTTAGGTTAGGAACCCAATTGAGATCTTCAATTCTGGTGTTAAGGCCATTCAT